TTGGATCGGCCTTTGTAAGCCGCATCGAGTCCTCCGGGAGATGTTAACGGGGTACAAATAAAGTTAATAATAATAATTAATAATCATAGAATCATAGAATCAAAGAGTTGGAAGAGACCTCATGGGCCATCCAGTCCAACCCCATTCTACCAAGAAGCAGGAATATTGCATTCAAATCACCCCTGACAGGAGAGAAAGAGGGAGGGAAAGGAAGGAAGGAATGAGGAGAAAGAAGAAAGAGAAAGAGGAGGAAGAGAAAAAGGGGGGAGGAAGAAGAGAAAAGAGAAGGAAAGAAAAAAGGGAAAGAAGGAAGGAAAGAAGGAGCGAAGGAAGGGGGAAGATGTAGAGAAAGAGGGAGGAAAGGAAAGATGGAAAGAGAGAAGGAAGAAAAGAGAGACTGCAGAAGAGAAAAAGGAAGAAGGAAGGAAAGAGGGAGCGAAGGAAGGGGATAAAATGTAGAGAAAGAGGGAGGGAAAGAAAGGGGGAAAGAGAGAAGGAAGAAAAGAGAGACAGCAGAAGAGAAAGAAAAAGGGGGAAGGAAGGAAAGCGATAGAGAAAGAAGGAAGGAGAGAAGGAAAGACAGGAAGGAAGGAAGGAAACAGGGAGTGAAGGAAGGAGGGAAAGAAGGGGAGATAGGGGGAAGGTTGGCCACAGCAACGCGTGGCGGGTACAGCTAGTAATATCTATATGTCTATAATGACAACAATCTATATAAATAAAATTGTAATGTTCATTTGTGGTATCCACAGAATTCAAAAACCACTGGGGCAATTGGCACCAAATTTGGACACGATACACCTAACAACCCAATGTATGTTCTTCACTCAAAAAATTGATTTTGTCACTTGGGAGTTGAAGTTGCTGGGATTTATAGTTCACCTACAATCAAAGAGCATTCTGAACCCCACCAACGATGGAATTGAACCAAACTTGGCACACAGTTCTCCCATGACCAACAGAAAATACTGGAAGGGTTTGGTGGGCAGCGTCCTTTGGTTTTGGAGTTGTAGTTCACCTACATCCAAAGATCACTATGGACTCAAACAATGATGGATCTGGACCAAACTCTACAAGAATACTCAATATGCCCAAATGTGGACACTGGTGGAGTTTGGGGAAAATAGAATCTTGACATTTGGGAGTTGTAGTTGCTGGGATTTATAGTTCACCTACAATCACAGAGCATTCTGAACCCCACCAACGATGGAATTGAACCAAACTTGGCACACAGTTCTCCCATGAGCAACAGAAAATACTGGAAGGGTTTTGTGGGCAGTGTCCTTTGGTTTTGGAGTTGTAGTTCACCTACATCCAGAGACTACCATGGACTCAAACAATGATGGATCTGGACCAAACTCTACACAAATACTCAATATGTCCAAATGTGGGGTTTGGGGGAGGAGTTGATTTTGTCATTTGGGAGTTGTAGTTTGCTGGGATTTATAGTTCACCTACAATCAAAGAGCATTCTGAACTCCACCAATGGGAATTGAACCAAACTTGGCACACAGAACTCCCATGATCAACAGAAAATACTGGAAGGGTTTGGTGGGCAGTGTCCTTTGGTTTTGGAGTTGTAGTTCACCTATATCCAAAGATCACTGTGGACTCAAACAATGATGGATCTGGACCAAACTCTACACGAATACTCAATATGCCCAAGTGAACACAGGTGGAGTTTGGGGAAAATAGACCTTGACATTTGGGAGTTGTACTTGCTGGGATTTCTAGTTCACCTACAATCAAAGAGCATTCTGAACCCCACCTTCTTTTCTTTCTTTCCCATTTCTCCACAATGGGCCACAGCAACGCGTGGCTGGGTACAGCTAGCACACATAATAAAAGTGAAAATGTGTATTGATTGATTGATTAGCCGTCCCCTGCCATGCGTTGCTGTGGCCCAGTCTGTGTATATATGTTTTTTGTGTGTATAGTCCAGAACCCAACAACTATGCCTATTACAGCTTTGGCATTCCAGAAATTTTTCACTAACAAAATTACCATGCTTCGGCAGGAACTCCCCCCCCCCGTGGCCACTTAGCGGGCCTATCTTCGATCAATTTACACCGCTTCACACGGAGGATGTCGCCAGAATCCTGGCTGCTGCAAAACCAACCACCTGTTCTCTTGATCCGTGCCCCTCTTGGCTGATCAAGAGCTGCTTGGAAGGTCTAATTGGGATTTGCAGTACCTTCACCCACTTTCAAAGACCACTGCGACCCCTGCAAATGACAGACCTGGACCAAACTTGGGACACAGATGCAATATGGCCAACTGTGCATACAGGACTGATTTGGGGAGGACTGATCCACGGTTTTGGGGACAGGTCACAAAACAAGATAGTATACCTTTTTGATTTCAAAGTTGAGCAGCATGTTGGTCACATCTTCCGGCGTGGTTTCTTTGGATGTCGCCAATGCCCTGTTCAATGGGGCGTCCTTCTGGGGAGGGGCAGACAGTCCTTTGGGGCTGCTGGGAAATTCTAAAACAAAGAGAGAGAGAGATTCTACTGAAAACCACGTTATTAAGAGGCCACTTGCCAAAAAGAAAGCAAAAATAACTGCAGAGGTGTATTCCGCAATTAGCAAAACAACCCAAGACATGTACAGATGTTTCGCTCTAGCACATTCAATGGCTTGTGTTGTTGATTTTTCACACAGACTCTGGTTAGGCTGCTCCTCAGAAGAGATGACGAAGAAACTGCTTTAGTCGCCAAAGGAGAACCATAAAGATCCATTCAAGCGCAGAAGGCATCCCTGGTTTCTCCATTATTATTATTATTATTATTATTATTATTATTATTATTATTATTAAACTAAGCTAAAATTTCCTTAAAGAGTGAGAGAAACCTGTCTCCAAAATAAAATAGATCCAAAGAAGAAGGATGGCAGAAGAGTCAAGGCGAAGGGAATGAAGCAGCAAGAAAAACTGAGGAGGGATAGGAGGAGGAGGATGGAAGAAGAGGAGGAGGGAGGAGGAGAGGACGGTAAAGTAGGTAGTAGGAGGAGGAGAACGAAGAAGAAGAGTAGGATAATGAGGAGTACGAAAGGAAGATGAATAAGAAAAGAAAAATAATATCGAGTAGAAGAAGAGGAGGAGGGGACCTGGTAAATATTGAAGAAGAAAAGAGATATAGGAGCAAATTAATACCGGCAAGTTAGAAGTAGAAGAAGATTAGTCGTAGGTAGACAAGAACATGAGGAAGGAATAAGATGAGAAGAAACCACGTATAATGGCTGAAGAGGAATGAGGCGGAGAAGGAAAGCAATGCAGTGAATAAAGAAGTATAGTGTAAAGAATGGGGAAGAGGAAGAATATTAGAAGAAGGAAGAGAGAAAATGCAGATTTAATTAATAAGATTGAGAGGACTGAATATTAGTATTAAGAAAAAATGTATTTTCTTACCTCTACTAAGAGAAGGTTAATAGTGACTGAGAATAGGAAGAAAAATCATTATTTGTGATAAGAAGGTGTTTATATTGATAATACAGGAATATGTTACTAGTACAGAAGGTAGTATTACTAGTTATAGGTAACAAGAATATTAGGATGTATGACAGACAAATAGATTAAGACAATAGAGGAGAATAAGATCTGGAGGAGGAATAAGGAAGGAGAGAAACAAAGAATATTATGAAGGAGGACTCGAAAAAGGGGAAGAGAGGAAGAGGGGAAGGAGGAAGAGGGAGAAGAACAAGAAGAGGAGGAGGAGGAATGAAAAACGTTTAACATACTATAAGAATGGCAAGGATTGAGAGAACAAAGGTTTCTTCAATAGCAATACTCTCTTCATTTTAAAATTCATGTCCTACATATTAATTAATAAAAATAATATTATGTGCTTAATTGAAGATTAAAATTTCTCATAATCAGACTACTAATCATACTAGGAAGGAAGAAGAGGAAGAGGAAGGAGAGGAAGAAGAGGAGAAAGAATTGTTATTTATTTATTTCCTGCCTCTCCTTTTGGATCTCGAGATCAGGCCACAACATAGTAGAATACATTTAGAAGCGCGCCTCTTAAAAACGCAGTGGAAATACCTTTCGTTGGTGCGCCTGGCTCCGTGCCTCCCATCGTTTTATCTGCTTCGGCAAGGTTTTCTGTCAGTATTTTCAGCAAGACATTCAGGTCTTCCTGATTCAAGACAACCTAAAGAGAAGCACAGGAGGAGAGCCATCTTCAAACCACTCAGCAGGTGACCTTTTTATCAGGTGCAGAAGCGGGTTTGAAGCAATCACTTACATCCATCACGTCCAGGTAGCCCTTGACTTCCATCATAGGTATCCTGTGATACCAGGATCCGGCCAGGTTGCGATTCACGGAGAGATTCAGGTTGATCGGGTGCAGGATCGGAATGTCGGGCTGCGAAAAACCCGGCTGCAAGATCGTCCTGAGTCAAGCAATTCAGAAAGGAAAAATGTATAATATCACACAGGACGACCACCTCACCCGCCTCATAGGAAACCTGCTACAAAACAGGAGCTTTTTTGTTGAGTTCCAGGGCCAGAGAAGCAGATGGCGGAAACAGAAGAACGGCCTGCCTCAGGGGAGCGTGCTTGCTCCATCCATGTTCAACATCGACACAAATGACCAGCCACTGCCAGAAGGGACAGAGAGTTTCATCTATGCTGATGATCGTGCCATTACTGCTCAAGCAGGGAGCTTTGAGATGGTAGAACAGAAGCTCTCCGAAGCTCTAGGTGCTCTTACTGCCTATTACAGGGAAAACCAGCTGATCCCTAATCCATCTAAAACACAGACACGTGCCTTTCATCTCAAGAACAGACAAGCATCCCGAGCTCTGAGGATCACCTGGGAAGGAATCCCACTGGAGCAGCGCACCCAAATACCTGGGAGTCACTCTGGACCGTGCTCTGACCTACAAGAAGCACTGCCTGGATATCAAGCAAAAAGTGGGTGCTAGAAACAATATCATACGAAAGCTGACTGGCACAACCTGGGGATCACAACCAGACACAGTGAAGACATCTGCCCTTGCGCTATGCTACTCTGCTGCTGAGTATGCATGCCCAGTGTGGAACACATCTCACCACGCTCAAACAGTAGATGTGGCTCTTAATGAGACATGCCGCATTATCACGGGGTGTCTGCGCCCTATAATAATAATAAAAAAGGTCTGGAGAACAAGCCCTATGAGGAGCGGCTTATGGAGCTGGGCATGTTTAGCCTGAAGAAGAGAAGGCTGAGAGGGGATATGATAGCCATGTATAAATATGTGAGAGGAAGCCACAGGGAGGAGGGAGCAAGCTTGTTTTCTACTTCCTTGGAGACTAGGATGCAATGGAACAATGGCTTCAAACTACAAGAGAGGAGATTCCATCTGAACATGAGGAAGAACTTCCTGACTGTGAGAGCCGTTCAGCAGTGGAACTCTCTGCCCCGGAGTGTGGTGGAGGCTCCTTCCTTGGAAGTTTTTAAACAGAGGCTGGATGGCCATCTGTCAGGGGTGCTTTGAATGCAATATTCCTGCTTCTTGGCAGAATGGGGTTGGACTGGATGGCCCAGGAGGTCTCTTCCAACTCTAGGATTCTATGATTCTGCCAACCCATCACAGTGTGGAACACATCACCACGCTAAGACAGTGGATGTGGCTCTGAATGAGACATGCCGCATTACCACGGGGTGCCTGCGCCCTACACCACTGGAGAAATTACACTGCTTAGCCGGTATTGCACCACCTGACATCCGCCGGGAAGTAGCAGCCAATAGTGAAAGGACCAAGGCAGAGACATCTCCAGCTCATCCCGTTTGGGTATCAGCCAGCACGTCAACGACTTAAATCAAGAAATAGTTTTCTAAGATCTACAGAGACACTTGCTGGAACACCCCAGCAAGCGAGAGTCCAAAAGTGGCAGGCTCCAACCCAGAACTTGATAATAAAACCTCAATCCATGGCTGATACCCAATGAGAGACTCCCTCCTGGGCACACAGAAGACGGGGCGACTTGGAAGGCGCTGAACAGACTGCGCTCTGGCACCACGAGATGCAGAGCCAACCTCAAGAAATGGGGCCACAAAGTGGAATCCACGACATGCGAGTGTGGAGAAGAGCAAACCACTGACCACCTGCTGCAATGCACCCTGAGCCCTGCCACATGCACGAGGGAGGACCATCTCCAGCTCATCCCTTGTTTGGGTATCAGCCAGCACGTCAATGACTTAAATCTAGAAATAGTTTTCTAAGATATTCCTTTCCACGACACTCTTGCACGGTGACCTTGAACCCAACCCACCTGGCCATCTTCAGCTGCGTCAGCTGGACCTCCATTCTGTCCACGACCGGAGGGAGCGGGCAGTCCTTGGCTGGAACCAAACTGAACTTGTTCTGGACCTTAATCAGCCCAAGGTCCACCACCACCGCATTAAAGGAGACCGAGGACTGCGGGACGAAGATCACTGGGGCTTTAAGGTTGATGTCCATGGCGAGACGGAAGCTCCGCTGGGCCAGGTCCCTCACGCTGGTGGCCGCTCTCTCAGCCGCCTTCTCCGTGGCCGCGCTCAAGGCCTCTTTGGCCACCTGGAAACTGTCCAGAAAGTTCTGCAAGGAAACAAAGGGGGATTTGTTTTGGAGGAGCAGAAACAGCAACTTTATGTCATCACGTAATAGTCGCACTCCCATTTTTGAATGGCGAAGTGGGTATAAGTTTTATATGTTTTATTAATTTACTAGCATCTCTGTATACAAAGCCACGCAATCTCTTCGATCATCTGGAGAGGCCCTGCTCATGCTCCCACCTGCATCGCAGGTGCGATTGGTGGGGACGAGGGAGAGGACCTTTTCGGTGGTGGCCCCTCGACTCTGGAACTCACTTCCTAAGGACATCAGACAGGCCCCAACTCTAGCAGTCTTTAGGAGGAGCTTGAAGACGTGGTTGTTCCAGTGTGCCTTCCCAGAATAATGATCCCATAGCACTTTATATTGTTTTAGGTCTGCTCGTATGTTCCCACAAACCACCCCTTCACTTTTTCGCCCATGTCCAGCATTATTTTTAATTACATTTGGCCTACCCATAGTTTTTAAAGTGTGTTGTCCTATTGATAATGCTTATGTTATTGTTTTATTGTTTTTAAATTGCTTGTATTGTTGTTGTTATTGCTTGTATTGTTGTATTTTGGGCTTGGCCTCATGTAAGCCGCACTGAGTCTCCTGGGGAGATGGCAGCGGGGTATAAATAAAGTGTTATTATTATTATTATTATTATTATTATTATTATTATTATTATTATTAGCTGTCCCCTGCCACGCATTGCTGTGGCCGTTTGGTGATCTGGAAAATAAAGTAATAAGAAAGAGTTGGTTTCTAATATATGTAATTCCTTTCTGCTTGTGGGTAAACAGTATTTCTTGCTGTTTCTTTGTCAGTGTTGATGTGGAGAGTGTCTGGTTTGCCTACTCTGGAACATGGAACACATCATTGTCCTTCTTTAAGGGTCCCTTTCAAATCTATGATACTATATCTGTGTGTGAATCATACATATACATCTATATAAAATGTAATGTTCCCTCCTTTTGTTTATTTCCTACCTTTCTTCTCTGATATACCTGCCTTCCTTCTTTCCTTCCTTCACCTTCCCCTTCCCTCCTTTTGTTTATTTCCTACCTTTCTTCTCTGATATCCCTTCCTTCCTTCCTTCCTTCCTTCCTTCCTTCCTACCTACCTACACCTTCCCTTCCCCTTCCCACTTTTCTTCTTTCTTTCCTTCTTTTCTTCTTTCTTTCCTTCCTTTTTTCATACACCTTCCCCTTCCTCCTTTTTTTCCTTCCTTTTTTCTTCCTTTCCCTTCCTTCCTTCCTTCCTTCCTTCCTTCCTTCCTTCCTTCCTTCCTTCCTTCCTTCCTTCCTTCCTTCCTACACCTTCCCTTCCCCTTCCCACTTTTCTTCTTTCTTTCCTTCTTTTCTTCTTTCTTTCCTTCCTTTTTTCATACACCTTCCCTTCCCCTTCCCTCCTTTTGTTTATTTCCTACCTTTCTTCTCTCTTCCTTCCTTCCTTCCTACCTACCTACCTACCTACCTTCCTTCACCTTCCCTTCCCCTTCCCACTTTTCTTCTTTCTTTCCTTCTTTTCTTCTTTCCTTCTTTCCTTCCTTCCTACACCTTCCCTTCCCCTTCCTTTCTTTTGTTTATTTCCTACCTTTCTTCTCTGATATTCCTTCCTTCCTTCCTTCCTTCCTTCACCTTCCCTTCCCCTTCCCACTTTTCTTCTTTCTTTCCTTCTTTTCTTCTTTCCTTCCTTCCTTCCTTCCTTCCTACACCTTCCCTTCCCCTTCCCTCCTTTTGTTTATTTCCTACCTTTCTTCTCTTCTATCCCTCCTTCCTTCCTTCCTTCCTTCCTTCCTTCCTTCCTTCCTTCCTTCCTTCACCTTCCCTTCCCCTTCTCACTTTTCTTCTTTCTTTCCTTCTTTCCTTCCTTCCTTCCTTCCTTGCTATTTACACCCCTTCCCCTCATTTCCGTCCTTCCTTCCCTCTTCCTCATCGTCCCCGATGGCGGCGTCCTTCCTTCCTTCCCTGGAGCCAGACGCCGGTGTGCGGGGGCGGCCTGGGCCGGGCATGGCAGAGGGCTGTCCTCAGGAGAGGCGGGTCGCAGGTTTTCGCGTTTTGCGCTCCCTAACGACGCCCTTATGGATTTTATATATACAGATTGATGTCCGCTTTTCATTCTCGACCAAGACCCACATGAAAACCCATCTGGAGCCCTGCCCTTGAGAACCCGCAAAGTTTGAACGGCAGCCAACCCACCTCCTCGTACTTGCGGTCGGCATCCTCTGCAATGTGCTTGGCCTCCTTGAGCTTGATCTCCTGGATCTCCATCTCTACCAGCTGTCCGGGCCCGTGGAAGGTGAACAGCCCCCCGTGCCAGACGTGCACCCGGCCGGCCCCCAGCACACACAGGCGAGCGAGCTCCCAATCCCAGGCCGGGCCTTCAGCGTTGGCGCCTAGGCCGCACTCGGTTTGGCATGGGGGAAGGGGCAGGGCGGCGATGGGAGGGGGCGTGGCTTGTGCGGAGGGGGCGTGGTGCGGCCATGTGCGCGCGCCATGTGACTCGCGCCGGGACTCCTCTGCGCATGCTCCGTTTGGTTGTGTAATTGTGAGTTTGTTGTTATGTTTTTTTGAGTTGTGATGAGTGTTCTGCATACCTTGTGGTTTGAGGTATGCGTACGCCAAGTTTGGTGATTTTTCATCCGGGGTTTTTCGCGTTTTGCGGCCCCTAACAATGCCCTTTTGGATTTTATATATATAGATTATTTAAAGGTGCGACTATTATGCGATGAAATATGCTATCTAGTACATTTCATTGATTCACCCATTGGCCGTATCAAAACACTTGACAAACCCATTTAACACATACACATACAGCATACAACCCACAATACAAGAAAAATAAATGAGCTGTTTACCAAGGGCTCAAGATCCGTATCCAAATCAAATATCTTCATCACTCCTACAATTTACCCCAATTGACTCTACGGTATCTCTTGACTGTTCTGCATGAATCCCATGTGTACCTAGCCTACCTTTCCCATTTCCCACCACATCAACGAAGCAAGGTGTTGGGCCTCACCAGGAGGGACATGAGGAATTTGTGGAGATAGATGATCTGGATGCAGCCCACTTTGAGGGAGACCATCCCGTCCACTTTGGACATGTCCGAATAGGCGTCGCCTTCCGTCGCCTCCGGATACAAGGCCAAGTTGAAACTGAAGACTTCGTCGCCAACGATGGAAACTGCCTGAAAGGAAAGGAAAAGGACATGTCGATTCCATCCATCATTAGACCTTAAATCTGTTCCTGTTTTATTATTTATTTGTCGTGTCAGAGCAACCAGTCAATTGTATTACATTTCTAACAGAACAAAACAAACAGACAAAATACAAAATTTGCAAGTTTGGTAGTTGATTAAATGTCCTTTGACCAGTATCTGTCCCCTTGGAGTGCCTCTGGTGTTGCTGCAAGAAGGTCCTCCCTTGTGCATGTGGCAGGGCTCAGGGTGCATTGCAGCAGGTGGTCAGTGGTTTGCTCTTCTCCACACTCGCATGTCGTGGATTCCACTTTGTGGCCCCATTTCTTGAGGTTGGCTCTGCATCTCGTGGTGCCAGAGCACAATCTGTTCAGCGCCTTCCAAGTCGCCCAGTCCTCTGTGTGCCCAGCGGGGAGTTTCTCATTTGGTATCAGCCATGGATTGAGGTTCTCGGTTTGAGCCTGCCACTTTTGGACTCTCGCTTGCTGAGGTGTTCCAGCGAGTGTCTCTGTAGATCTTAGAAAACTATTTCTAGATTTAAGTCGTTGATGCGCTGGCTGATACCCAAACAGGGGATGAGCTGGGGATGTCTCTGCCTTGGTCCTTTCACTATTGGCTGCTACTTCCCGGCGGATGTCAGGTGGTGCAATACTGGCTAGCAGTGTAATTTCTCCAGTGGTGTAAGGCGCAGACACCCCGTGATAATGCGGCATGTCTCATTAAGAGCCACATCCACTGTTTTAGCGTGGTGAGATGTGTTCCACACTGGGCATGCGTACTCAGCAGCAGAGTAGCAAAGCGCAAGGGCAGATGTCTTCACTGTGTCTGGTTGTGATCCCCAGGTTGTGCCAGTCAGCTTTTCGTATGATATTGTTTCTAGCGCCCACTTTTTGCTTGATGTTCAGGCAGTGCTTCTTGTAGGTCAGAGCACGGTCCAGAGTGACTCCCAGGTATTTGGGTGCGCTGCAATGCTCCCGTGGGATTCCTTCCTAGGTAATAATCCTCAGAGCTCAGGATGCTTGTCTGTTCTTGAGATGAAAAGCACATATCTGTGTTTTAGATGGATTAGGGATCAGCTGGTTTTCCCTGTAATAGGCAGTAAGAGCACCTAGAGCTTTGGAGAGCTTCTGTTCAACCATCTCAAAGCTCCCTGCTTGAGCAGTAATGGCACGATCATCAGCATAGATGAAGCTCTCTGTCCCTTCTGGCAGTGGCTGGTCATTTGTGTAGATGTTGACCATGGATGGAGCAAGCACGCTCCCCTGAGGCAGGCCGTTCTTCTGTTTCCACCATCTGCTTCTCTGGCCCTGGAACTCAACAAAAAAGCTCCTGTTTGTAGCAGGTTTCCTATGAGGCGGGTGAGGTGGTAGTCCTTTGTGATATTATACATTTTTCTCAGGAGGAGGCGGTGGTTTACAGTATCATAAGCTGCTGACAGGTCTATGAAGACAGCTCCTGTGATCTGCTGCCTTTCAAAGCCATCTTCTATGTGCTGAGTCAGGTTCAGCACTTGCGATGTGCAGCTTTTGCCTTTCCTGAAGCCAGCTTGCTGTGGGATCAGACAGGGGTCTATATTTTCCATAATTCTATGCAAAGTAAGTCTCTCCAGAACTTTGTAGAGGTGGCACAACAAGGACAAAAAATCTTGAAAAAAAAGTTTAAGAAGAAGCCAGAGTATTATTTATTAGGCTTCACAGACCTGGAATTACAACTTGAAGAAAATGAAGACAAATTCCTAACATACATTACAACAGCAGATAGGAATATTTTGGCTAGACACTGGAAAAAAGAACAGGCTCCCATTGTTGATGAATGGATAGATAAGATTAAAGAAATAAGAGATATGGATGAACTAACTTTTTTGATGAGGAAAAATACCGGAAAATCGGTAAAAAGGACAGACTGGACCCTTTTTTATGATTATGAAAAAAAATAGAAGAATAACAGAGGCCAAGAATACATAAGTTCGATCAAGAAGTACTTAGAGAAGATCCTGAGACTGGAGTGGAAGTCATTTTAGAACCGTTTGTGTGTGGATTATTTTTTTTTTTTTTTGCATTTTTTGCAATTTTTCTGGACTTTTTTTTGCATTTTTTGGCTTTTTTTTTTTGCTTCTTTTTGTTTTTTTCTTTTTTCTTTCCCCTTGGTGATCGGGTTTCCTACCTTTCTATCTTCTTTGGTAACGTTCTCCCTCTTTCCTTGTATTGATGTTTAAAATGTTCCATAAAAATTATTTAAAAGAAAAAAAAGAATGGCCCAACAACCGCAATAAATGTTTCATACCTTTTTATGAACCGTCTTGGAATCGACGTCTGTCACAACGATATCCTTCAGCCGCGCAAAGAGCGTGGTTTGGCTCGACTGGAGGAACAGAGAGGAGTTCAGACCTGAAAAGTCAGGGGAAAAGTCTGGTAAATTCAAGTTGAAACAGTGGAGAAACACAACCATTCTAAGTCATGGGCGTTTGTTGTTCAGATCCTGAACCGTTGCTTGGCCGCTGTATCGGACTGGATGAGGGCGAACAAATTGAAATTGAATCCAGATAAGACAGAGGCACTCCTGGTCAGTCGAAAGGCCGAACAGGGTATAGGGTTACAGCCTGTGTTGGACGGGGTTACACTCCCCCTGAAGACACAGGTTCGCAGCTTGGGTGTGATCCTGGACTCCTCGCTAAGCTTGGAACCCCAGGTCTCGGCGGTGTCCAGGGGAGCATTTGCACAACTCAAACTTGTGCGCCAGCTGCGCCCGTACCTTGGGAAGTCTGACTTGGCCACGGTAGTCCACGCTCTGGTCACATCCCGTATAGATTACTGCAACGCGCTTTACGTGGGGCTGCCCTTGAAGACTGCCCGGAAGCTTCAGATGGTCCAGCGCTCGGCAGCCAGGTTGCTAACAGGAGCGGCACTCAGGGAGCATACCACTCCTCTGCTGAGCCAGCTCCACTGGCTGCCAATTCGCTACCGGGCACAATTCAAGGTGCTGGCTTTGGCCTATAAAGCCCTAAACGGTTCTGGCCCCGCTTACCTCTCCGAACGCATTTCCACCTATGAACCGACTAGAACATTAAGATCGTCTGGGGAGGCCCTGCTCTCGATCCCGCCTGCGTCACAGGCGCGCTTGGCGGGGACGAGAGACAGGGCCTTCTCAGTGGTGGCCCCTCGGCTATGGAATGCCTTGCCAGCAGACATCAGACAGGCACCTTCGTTGCTGACGTTTCGGAGAATGGTCAAGACCTGGCTTTACGAACAAGCGTTTGGCTAGGCAATGCAACTAATTAAGGAAGACGGTAATTGAAACATAGGAACGGCACAATGACTATGAGAATGGATCTGACTTCAACTGAGGCGTTATATATGTTGGTTGTTGATTTGTCCTGTCTGATTGTTAATTGTTGTGGAGCGACGTCGTCGACCCTGTTGTTGTATTGTTGTGTTTTAATTGCACTGTAAACCGCATTGAGTCGCCTGTCAAGGGCTGAAAAATGCGGTATAAAAATAAAGCAAATAAATAAATAGATCCATTGTGGCTTTGCGGTTTCTGCATTGGAAAATGGCTCTGGAAGGCATGGAAGCCCATTGGGATGCCTTGGGCAGGTCACACACTCTCAGCCACAAGGGAAGGCAAGGCCAAACCCTCTCTGACCAAGAAAGCCTTCTGGCTGCTTTGCGGCGGAAGAGAACTGGTGGCTAGCCCCGCCCATGGGCTATATATACTCAAGGGGGGTGGGCGGGGCTAGCCGGGGACTAAAATGTCTATTTTATCTTCTAGAAGGTTCCGAAAGCTGTACTGCGCAGGCGCAGAGATACCATATGTGCGTATTCACAGTTGACTACGACAGGAAAAAATATATTATAATAACAGATAATCATAATAATAATAATAATTTAAATTGTATGCTAATGTTTTATGCCAAGCCACTTCGAGTCCCCTTTGGAGAGATAAAGTGGGGTATAAATAAATAAATACAATAATAATATATAATAATATATAATAATAATAATAATAATAATAATAATAATAATAATATTTTAAATTGTATGCTAACGTTTTATGCCAAGCCACTTCGAGTCCCCTTTGGAGAGATAAAGTGGGGTATAAATAAATATAATAATAATATATAATAATAATATTTTAAATTGTATGCTAACGTTTTATGCCATGCCACTTCGAGTCCCCTTTGGGGAGATAAAATGGGGTATAAATAAATACAATAATAATATATAATAATATATAATAATAATAATAATAATAATAATAATTTAAATTGTATGCTAACGTTTTATGCCAAGCCACTTCGAGTCCCCTTTGGAGAGATAAAGTGGGGTATAAATAAATATAATAATAATATATAATAATAATATTTTAAATTGTATGCTAACGTTTTATGCCATGCCACTTCGAGTCCCCTTTGGGGAGATAAAATGGGGTATAAATAAATACAATAATAATATATAATAATAATAATAATAATAATAATAATAATATTTTAAATTGTATGCTAATGCTTTTGTGCCAAGCCACTTCAAGTGCCCTTGGGGAGATAAAATGGGGTATAAATAAATACAATATATAATAATATATAAAAAATATATTATAATATATTATAATAATAATAATATTTTAAATTGTATGCTAATGCTTTTATGCCAAGCCACTTCGAGTCCTTTTTGGGGAGATACAATGGGGTATAAATAAATACAATAATAATATATAATAATATATAATAATAATAATAATAATAATAATAATAATAATATTTTAAATTGTATGCTAACGTTTTATGCCAAGCCACTTCGAGTCCCCTTTGGAGAGATAAAGTGGGGTATAAATAAATATAATAATAATATATAATAATAATATTTTAAATTGTATGCTAACGTTTTATGCCATGCCACTTCGAGTCCCCTTTGGGGAGATAAAATGGGGTATAAATAAATACAATAATAATATATAATAATATATAATAATAATAATAATAATAATAATAATTTAAATTGTATGCTAATGCTTTTGTGCCAAGCCACTTCGAGTGCCCTTGGGGAGATAAAATGGGGTATAAATAAATACAATATATAATAATATATAATAATATATTATAATATATTATAATAATAATAATATTTTAAATTGTATGCTAATGCTTTTATGCCAAGCCACTTCCAGTCCCCTTTGGGGAGATACAATGGGGTATAAATAAATACAATAATAATAATTATAATAACATATAATAATAATAATAATAATAATAATAATAATAATATTATTTTAAATTGTATGCTAATGCTTTTATGCCAAGCCACTTCGAGACCTTTTTGGGGAGACATATTGTATAAATAAATACAATAATAATAATAATAATAATAATAATAATAATTTAAATTGTATGCTAATGTTTTATGCCAAGCCACTTCGAGTCCCCTTTGGGGAGATAAAATGGGGTATAAATAAATATAATAATAATATATAATAATATATAATAATAATAATAATAATAATAATAATAATAATTTAAATTGTATGCTAACGTTTTATGCCATGCCACTTCGAGTCCCCTTTGGGGAGATAAAATGGGGTATAACTAAATACAATAATAATAATAATAATAATAATAATAATAATAATAATAATATTTTAAATTGTATGCTAATGCTTTTATGCCAAGCCACTTCGAGTCCTTTTTGGGGAGATACAATGGGGTATAAATAAATACAATAATAATATATAATAATAATAATAATAATAATAATAATATTTTAAATTGTATCCTAATGCTTTTATGCCAAGCCACTTCGAGTCCTTTTTTGGGGAGATACAATGGGGTATAAATAAATACAATAATAATATATTATAATAACATATAATAATAATAATAATAATAATAATAATAATATTTTAAATTGTATGCTAATGCTTTTATGTCAAGCCACTTCGAGTCCTTTTTGGGGAGATACAATGGGGTATAAATAAATACAATAATAATATATAATAATATATAATAATAATAATAATAATAATAATAGTATGCTAATGCTTTTATGCCAAGCCACTTTGAGTCTCCTTTGCGGAGATAAAATGGGATATAAATAAATACAATAATAATATATAATAATAACATATAATAACATATAATATTATTATTATTATTATTATTAATAATAATAATAATAATAATAATAATAATAATAATAATAATAATAATTGTATGCTAATGTTTTATGCCAAGCCACTTCGAGTCCCCTTTGGGGAGATAAAATGGGGTATAAATAAATACAATAATAAGGAGCCAGATACTGGTCAAAGGACATTTAATCAACTACCAAACTCACAAATTTTGTATTTTGTCTGTTTGTTTGCTTTGTTCTGTTAGAAATGTAATACAAATGCCTGGTTGCTGATGACACGATAAATAAATATTATTATTATTATTTTAAAAATCCAATTTCTCCAAAAATATTGGTGATAATAATAAGTACCTACTGCACTGGAAATAACATTTTTTTTTTCTAAATTTTGTTCCATTATGTTATTACCTTGAACCCGGATGTCGGCGATATTGTTCTTCTCGTCGCAGACGCTGATGCAGAAGGCGTCCAACTTGGCAAAGAACTTGAAGTCAAACACGTCCTTGTCTTTGCTGGGTTTGGCCGCTGGAAGGAATATCGTGCAAGAGATTGATCAATGTGATGCGGAGCAGTGAGCAATTAACCTTTGCGGAAGACGGGACGCTGCAGAGAAGGGGAAATACCTTTCTTGGACACCGGGGCCTCTTTGCCGGGCTTCCCTCCCTGTGCCTGGGAGACCCCCGGATGCAGAGGGTCCTGCTTCTTGGCCGGGAGGACAGCCAGCAGGTAATTGATGGTGGAGAGCAAGGCCTGCGTGTGCAAGAGCAGGTTCAAGGAGGAAAACGCCACCTGGAAGGGAAGAAAACAAAACCATTATTTTATTTATTTATTTATTTATTTATTTACAGTATTTATATTACATAGAATCATAGAATCAAAGAGTTGGAAGAGACCTCCTGGGCCATCCAGTCCAACCCCATTCTGCCAAGAAGCAGGAATATTGCATTCAAATCACCCCTGACAGATGGCCATCCAGCCTCTGTTTAAAAGCTTCCAAAGAAGGAGCCTCCACCACACTCCGGGGCAGAGAGTTCCACTGCTGAACTACTCTCACAGTCAGGAAGTTCTTCCTAATGTTCAGATGGAATCTCCTTCTTGTAGTTTGAAGCCATTGTTCTGAATCCTAGTCTCCAGGGAAGCAGAACAACAAGCTTGCTCCCTCCTCCCTGTGGCTTCCTCTCACATATTTATACATGGCTATCATATCTCCTCTCAGCCTTCTCTTCTTCAGGCTAAACATGCCCAGCTCCTTAAGCCGCTCCTCCTCATAGGGCTTGTTCTCCAGACCCTTGATCATTTTAGTCGCCCTCCTCTGGACACATTCCAGCTTGTCAATATCTCTCTTGAATTGTGGTGCCCAGAATTGGACACAATATTCCAGATGTGGTCTAACCAATGCAGAATAGAGGGGTAGTATTACTTCCCTATAGACACTATGCTCCTATTGATGCAGGCCAAAATCCCATTGGCTTTTTTTGCCGCCACATCACATTGTTGGCTCATGTTTAACTTGTTGTCCACGAGGACTCCAAGATCTTTTTCACACGTACTGCTCTCGAGCCAGGCATTATCCCCCATTCTGTATCTTTGCATTTTGTTTTTTCTGCCTAAGTGGAGTATCTTGCATTTGTCACTGTTGAACTTCATTTTGTTAGTTTTGGCCCATCTCTCTAATCTGTTAAGATCATTTTGAATTCTGCTCCTGTCTTCTGGAGTATTGGCTATCCCTCCCAATTTGGTGTTGTCTGCAACTTGATGATCATGCCTTCTAACCCTTCATCTAAGTCATTAATAAAGATGTTGAACAGGACCGGGCCCAGGACGGAACCCTGTGGCACTCCACTCGTCACTTCTTTCCAAGATGAAGAGGAAGCATTGGTGAGCACCCTCTGGGTTCGTCCATTTAACCAATTACAGATCCACCTCACCGTAGTTTTGCCTAGCCCACATTGGACTCGTTTCCTTGCCAGAAGGTCATGGGGGACCTTGTCGAAGGCCTTACTGAAATCCAGGTATGCTACATCCACGGCATTCCCCGCATCTACCCAGTTTGTAACTCTATCAAAAATATTCCATCCTTCTCACCCCGCAGGGGACTCAGTGTACACATATATGGCAAACATTCAATGCCATTTGACATACAAACATATACAGGCATACACAGAGGCTATTTAACTTTTTTCTGGCCACCAGGGGAGATGTCGCTTTCATCGTCCATCTGAGACGCTGATGAAGCACTTCCGCATTCCCCGCATACTTCCTCACTGGAATGCATCTTTATGGCCTCATAAATCAGTTAATTTAGCCTCCCCACACTTTAAGGTGGTACCTAATTTTCCTACTTGACAGATGGAACTGTCTTTCGGGTTGCAAAGGTCGACAACAGGCTACACAATTGGTTGGACACCCACTCCAACCCGGGCTGGCTTCGAACTCATGACCTTTTGGTCAGAGTGATCTTAATGCAGCTGACACTCAGCCAGCTGCGCCACAATATGAAATAAATAATGAATAAAAATAATAAAATTAAAAATGTCATAAAATAATAAAATGAAACAAAAATATTGAAATAACAACAAATAAACTGAAATAAATAATATGACTAAAAATAATTAAAAATAAAAAGTAATATCAAAATAATTAAAAATTAAAAATAATATAAAATTACAAATAATAATGTAAACTATAATAAAGTAACATAAATAATAATATGACTAATAAAAATAATTAACAATTAAGAAGTAATATCAAAATAATAAAATAAAAATAAATGATAACATAATATAATATAAAATTATAAATAATAATGTAAAGTATAATAAAATAACATAAATAATAATGTGACTAATAAAAATAATTAAAACTTGATGTCAAAATAATAGAATAAAAATAAATGATAATATAAAATTATAAATAATGTAAGCTATAATAAAATAACATAAATAATAATGTGACTAATAAAAATAAATATAAATAAAAAAGTAATGTCAAAATAATAAAATAAAAATAAATGATAATATAAAATTATAAACAATAATGTAAAACATAATAAATTAAAATAAATAATAATATGACTAATAAAAATTAAAAATTAAAAGTAATGTCAAAATAATAAAATAAATATAAATAATAATAATATAAAATTATAAATAATAATGTAAACTATACTAAAATAACATAAATAATAATGTGACTAATAAAAATAATTATAAATAAAAAAATTATGTCAAAATAATAAAATAAAAATAAATAATAATATAAAATTATAAACAATAATGTAAACCATAACAGCTGAACAGCTCTTCTTACGATCAGGAAGTTCTTCCTCATGTTCAAGTGGAATCTCCTTCCCTGCCATTTGAACCCATGGCTCCATTGAGTCCTTAGAGTTGGCTTACCTGGACTGTTTGTTCTGTGTTGTCAAACGTTGTCTGAAACTTTGGACCATTCACATCAGCCTGGAGGGGAAAAAAATCCTTTAAAATAGAGGCAGTCCCCAAGCGAAGAACAAGATGGGTTCTGTAGGTTTGTTCTTAAGTTGAATTTTGTTTGTAAGTCAGAACAGCGACATTTTCTAACTATATATAAGCTTTGGGCCGGGGCCGGGCTGTAGCACCTGCTGCAATAGATCACTGCCAACCAGAGGGTGGCAAGTATGAAGCCTGAGTTGGATTGAGCACCCGACTATTAAGCCTAGCATACTATCCACCTAAGCAGTTCGAAAACAGCTGAGCTGTGAGTAGAGAAATTAGGAACTGAAATTAGGAACTGAAATTAGGAACCATTCTGGAATTCGCTCCCCAGAGATATTAGGCAAGCCCCCATCCTGGAAATCTTTCGGAGGAGCCTGAAAACTTGGCTCGACAGGACTTTGATCTTTGATATGGTTGTTTTAAATTGTTTTTAAACTGTGTTCGATTTTAGCCTGTTCTTGTAAGCCGCTCCGAGCCCCAGGGGAGTGGCGGCATAGAAGTTTGAATAATAAATAAAATAATAGTAATAAATAAATAGTAATAAATAGTAATGCTCCAGCAAAGGATCACCGCCTTGTCGGGGCGCTGGAGCTTGAGCACCTCAATGATGTCATGAGCGAAACCGTGAAGGGCCACCCAAGACGGGACGGTTGTGGCAGAGAGGTCAGACCAAGCGTGATCCCTGGGGAAGGCAATGGCAAACCACTCCAGTATCCTTGCCAAGAAAACTAAATGGACCAGTACAACCAGAGATATGTCGGTATGCCATTGGAAGATGGGACTCCCAGGTCGGAAGATGGCCAAAATGCTACTGGGGAGTCCTCTGGACACATTCCAGCTTGTCAATATCTCTCTGCAATTGTGGTGCCCAGAATTGGACACAATATTCCAAAATCTCCTCTTGGAGATGGATGGGGTGGCTGGAGGCATTTTGTGCCATATGTAAGCCAACTCAAGTCCCTTCAGGGAGATGGAGGCAGGGTACAAAATAAAGTTGTTGTTCTTGTTCTTGTTGTTCTTGTTGTTGTCGTCATCATCACCATCATTATCATCTTCACCTCAGAGAGGTAGCTGGCCAATTTAAGCCTAGAATTGGTCTTTTAAAGAATAGAAAATGCACAATAAATTGATTATGTTCAAGTCTTGTTAATGGCCCACGTAAGCTAAAACATGGTGATGATGCTTCCAGTGTTATCTAAAAGAGTGTCTGAGAACCTTTGGGAAACACCCATTTTGTATTTCGTTTGCAGAGGAGGCTGATCCTTTAATGGTTTCCTGAGAAGTCAGAGCATCTCCCAGTCTTCCATGCTGGCTCACTCATTTATTATGTTCTTAATTCTATAAACCCAGACATTTCCATAGGTACGTTGTGCATCTACACTGTAGAACAAATGCAGTTTGACACCACTTCTGCTGCCAGGGTTCAATGCTATAGAATCCCGGGTACTGTCATTTTCCAAGGTCTTTAGCCTTCTCTCCCCAACTACAACTCCCCAAATTCCATAGCACTGAGTCCTGTTAAAATGGAGTCAAACTGCATTTATTCTACAGTGTAGATGTGTCTGTAGGTAGAGATATAATCCAAGATCTTATATTTCAATTGCTACGTATATCGCCATTTGGGAATATGCACATTGATTGTGCTGCTGAATGCTTGGTCAAATGGCAATGCAGTGGGCATTAATATAAATGTATCTGAGTGCACAAATGAATATGGAGCAACTGAATGCACAACCAAATATGCCTTCAGATGGTTCAGATGGAAAGTGCTAACTCCTTTCGTAAGAAAGTTTACACTTTTAAAGTCTCCAATATGATTTCACCCTATTTCCAAGTTTCTTATCTCCTTCTGGGCTGCTTCTTCCATGGATTGCCTTTGACTTGCAACATGTGCTGCTACCTAGCTTGGTTTTAATGTGTTTAGACAGTAAATAATATTTTTGTCCTGTCTCACATTTGAAAATATTTCATTTTTACATGAATTTTGTATACATTATTCCATGATCTATACACTGCCATATAATGCAGTTTGGAACATCAGTATATGGTCAGTGTAGACTCATGTATGATAAGAAACAAATTCTTATCATGTATGATAAGAAACAAATTGGTATGATAAGAAACAAAGATGGCAGGGACCTAACAGAAGCTGAAGAGATCAAGAGAAGGTGGCGAGACTATACAGAAGATCTGTATAGGAAGGATAATAATATTGAGGATAGTTTTCACGGTGTGGTGAATGAATTAGAACCAGACATCCTGAGGAGTGAGGTTGAATGGGCCTTAAGAAGCATTGCTAACAACAAGGCAGCAGGAGACGACGGGATCCCAGCTGAACTGTTTAAAATCTTAAAAGATGATGCTGTCAAGGTGATGCATGCCATTTGCCAGCAAATATGGAAAACACAAGAATGGCCATCAGACTGGAAAAAATCAACTTATATCCCCATACCAAAAAAGGGAAATGCGAAAGACTGCTCAAACTTCCGTACAGTGGCCCTTATTTCTCATGCCAGTAAGGTAATGCTCACGATCCTGCAAGGAAGACTCCAGCAATACATGGAGCAAGAGCTGCCAGATGTTCAAGCTGGGTTTAGAAAAGGGAGAGGAACGAGAGACCAAATTGCCAATATCCGCTGGATAA